CAACCAGCTAACAAGCAAAAAAGAAACCCAGGATGCCATAGTTATGTATGACATCTCAGCAGGGCTATTGCTTATTTTAAACCACGAAACCCCAAGCAAGGAAAGTTAGCCCGTGCTCAGGATATTCAATACTATATAAACATGACAAGCTCTCAAATACCCAAGGAATCACTTTGTCACTGAGGATCATTAAAGAGTTCAATCATTTGAATTAACAAATGTTAGCAGAAAGACAATCCTCAGGATGGGAAACTTGATCAATTTCAGCATAAGAAAAAATTCAAGCATGAATTAGGCCCCAAAACTCAATGCCATCGAATCCATTCTGACTCGTTACGACCCCACGGAACGGAGTGGCACTGCTCCTTAGGGTTCCCAAGGCCCAATCTTGACAGGAGAAGCAGACAGCCTCATCTTTCTCCGGCAGAACGCTGGTGAGCTTGAGCGGTCAATCTTGAGGTTAGCAGGCTGGTGCTTACCCACTGTACCACCAGGGTCCCTAAGAGTGGACCACGAAGCACTAGACGTGAGACAAAACTACCTACAAGAGGGTCAAAGGCACTTTAGGAGTGTTCTGACCGGCCTTCATCTGAGCTTTTGAAGTTCCAACTCACGAAAACCGGAGCACTACCTCCTCAGGAGTTGGCTTAGAACAGAGAAGCGTCTCAATAGCACTTACTTTCAGAGACAGCTGGAAGGGAGAGTGAGAATGGAGAGCTGGCCTAGCCACCAATTCGTCTGGTCTCTTCAGAAGGGTGTGCAATGAAAGACTAACCGACCATGCTCACTTCCTAGCTGGTGTTTCGCTTGTTTGTTTGTTTGAACGCTAAACAAAGATTCCAGGAAATATCCATAAAAACACAGGGAGGAGTAAGTCAGAGAGTGTCACCTATCACCTAAGCCTCAAAAGTGTTCAGCTCCTGACTCCAAAATACCAGCTTCCCTCCTCTGCATGCAGCACACTGGTCCCAGGGGGGATTTTCACCTCAAACTTCATTACCATGAAACATGGTTTCTGAGGACCATCAAGCAAGATAGCCCCAGGATGGAGCTTGGATTGAGTGCTAGATCCCTGTGTCTGTAGTGTCAGAGGCGCCGGGGATGTGCTGCTGAGACCAAGAAAGAGTGAGAAGGAGGGGCTGGGGGGAGCTCCTGGCCCAAGCAGCCTTGCTGTAGAGAAGATGTTTTCTGACCCTGACTTGTGGTAAGCTGTTCATTTCCCTAGGAAGCCCCCATAATGGTATTATGTGTGAGTTCTGAATGGCCACTGCAAGAGATGACAAAGCCAGCGGAGAAGCAGAGTGCCAAGGGAGGAGTGGCTGGTCCCAGAATAGGGTGAGAGAAGGAGAGAGAGTGGAGAGGAGTCTGACCTCCCTGCCCTGTGGCATCTGGCCTTGGGCTGGTGCAGACATGGGTTCTCTTTCTCCCTACAGAAGCCAGGGGAGGGCAGATGTGGCCTGCGTGTCATTTTTACAAAAATAAAGTTATTAATAATTTCTTAACTCAAAATTTTCTTTTACCATAATTTAGTTCCTTACGCCTGCACCCTTTTGATTAAAATACTTGAACAAGTAGCAAAAGAATACTAATGGTTATATAAACTGGGCAAACTGCCTGTCATACTTCACTACCTCAGTTTAAGTGGTTTATGGTTATGATTTTAAATTGAACTTATAAACCAGTCACATTTCCTATTAGGAAAAGTATTCCCACTGCTTAAAATAGAAATTTACCCATAATTCACTGCGCTGCCTGGTATGCAGGTGTTACAACTCCCAGAGTGACCACATGGTAAACTTTATTGGGGTACTTCCATTTCTAACCTAACCAAAAACGTGAAATGGTTAGTTCCCTAAGTGAAGAAATGATAACATGGCTTCCCAAATGTATTTAACCCTTTTCAGGGAGAAAAAATTACTCAGTGCTCCTCTGGTAATGAAAAACCTTTGTGCTATGTAGCCCAGTGTAGGTCTCTGCATTTGCAGGCCCCCTGGATGGCTCCAGCGCCCCCCAGGAGAAACCCTGGTGGATCAGGAAACTTGCGTGGGATTCATGCGGGAGAAGTTTGCTGCAGGACCCTCAAATCAGTCGTTCTGACAGTTCAAGAATGTTTTTCTAAAAAGCAGGTGCGCACAGAGGCAATAACTGTGAGTCAAAAGGTGGTTTGTTTTGTTTTGTTTTCCTGAAAAGTAAGTCTCCGATTTAGAACCAGAGATGTGTGGGTGTCTGCATGTCAGGACCTCGTGCTAGAGTGCTCCCCATATTCTAGTTTAAAATGGCACAAAAACGGACCCAATTCTTATCGTTTAAGATGTCTGGGTCCCTGGCTGATCCAAACACAAACCGAACTAATGCAGACTCACAGCGATCCAGGGCAGGGGAGAACTGCCCTCCTGTATGAACTCTGAGAATCGTCCAAGGAGGCACTAATCCTCTCCAGCCCCCTAATTCTGCCAAGCCGCCAAGTCGCAGAGAGCTGTCCGGGCATTTCTCAGAAAACCCGGGTGCCATCAGGATGGGTGTTATCCGGCGGCTTGTCCAACTACACCCTTGGGTCCGGTTTAAAACCTGCTCCCCAAGTGCACCTTTCTGGGGGTGGTAGCGATGGCGCGCGCCTCCCCTACCCGATCCTCCCACGGGGGCGTCTCTCTAATGTCAAGCTCGCTGGTCTAGGGGGCGCCCCCGACGCCGTCGACACTTTGTCCTCGTGGCTGACCTCACAACGCAAACGG